ATCAAAGAAATAGTGTTGCATCACTCTCTTGCTCCCCCCTGCAATGTGCCCAAGTCGTTGTGTGGGATCCGTCTTGCACAGTGCAAGAATAAAGTCCCGTGCAGCCCTTGGTACGTGAAGGCTATGACGGTGTCCGGAATGAGATGGATGTGCGGTGGGGAAGCGAATGTGACCGGCAACAATCTGCTCGTAGATACGCATTGGGTTTTGGTCCCAAAAAGGCGGTTGGCCGATAAGCATCTCGTATACTAAAATCCCCAGCGCCCACCAGTCCACCGCGGTTCCATGACCGGTGTTTCGTATTACTTCAGGTGCCAAATACTCGGGGGTGCCGCAGAGGGTGTATGTGACGCCCGCTCCGTTCGCCTGGGGTTCGGGGTGCTCCGTACCCAGCTTTTCGAGAGTAGCGCTCTGGCCGTCCTCGCCGTGCTGCTCTGGGCTAGGTGGGAGGTATTTGGCGAAACCAAAGTCGACAAGTTTGAGATGACCGTCGACATCAAGGAGGATATTTTCTGGCTTGAGATCACGATATGCCACAAATTGTACCTCGTGGAGGTAAGCCAATATCAGGGTGATTTCGGCTGCATAGAACTGGACCGTGGAAAAGGGAAAGCGGCGTGCCCGCCTAAGATACGAAAAGATCTCCCCACCAGGCGTATAGTCCAGCAGCATATACAGTGACGTCTCGTCTGAGAATGATGCAATCAGGGTGGTAATGAAAGGGTGTCCAGCGACGGCAGCGAGGACGTCTCGCTCGTTTCGAACGTGCTCGACCTGTTTCAATTTGATGACATCCACCTTCTTCAAGACCTTGAGTGCGAATACCTTGTCCCTGTCTTGGGGGTGAGGATTGGCGAACCGGCACAGCCAGACACGAGCAAAGGTACCTATGTTGCGATTGTGTCAGCAATGGCCCATCGCATGAATTGCAAGCCCATAGAGGTTTGATTTACCTGTCCCAAGCGTCCGCATCAACTCAAAATCGGTGACTTTGAGAGTGCGGGATGACTGGCCAAGCTTCTTCTCTTCTGGGAGCTTGGAGACTTCCTCCGGAGACATGACCTCCCCGTCTTCCCTGGCCGGGGTCGGATCGCCGTGTTTCTGGCTCTGGTCCTTATCATACTGACGACTGGGGTGCGGGTGGGAGGCGCTTCGGGCGTTTTGAGGGTTGCTGGTTCGTAGGTACTGTCTATGGCCTTGAGCTGATGCCGCTCGCTGGGGCGGCGGCTGTTGCTGCGGCGTCTGAAGCGTCGCTGTGCTCATCGGAACAGCCAATGCGCATCTTTTTCCTTTTCCAAATGGCCTAGGGAGCGTCAAGGGTGAAGGGCATCTCGATGCGGGCGATCAAAACGCAATGCGCGGCGCGACTGAAGAGGGGCGTTGGTGGCAGCGTCAAAGGCACAAGCCGACGTTAGCGGTGAGGCTGTGCAGCGTTTCGTTTCCTTTTTTTGCTGCAAAACGAGTATGAGGAAGAGGAGAAGGTATTGTAACAGATGCTGTAGCGGAGTGAAGTTGAGAGAAAGCCTAGGGATTTCGAGAGGGCGCAGGCACAGCCCCAAAAAGTAGCAAAAAATCCGGAGGGAGAGTAGCCCAGCGAGAAATGATTTCAGATCGTCTTCCACCACAGGAACTTTGCTGCTGAGTGACCGTCCCCTCTTTTCCCCCCAGCCCCAGCCGTTTGCTGGATCCCTGATTCCTGATTCCCTCGCCGTGGTCAGGGCTAGCACGCATCTGTCGCAGTGGAGATCTCGTAACGAGAAAACCAGCCTGGTGGGCATGACGACAGCGGGTGGATGCGGAGCATTTTCAGTGGCTGACAGATGAAACCAGACCAGACACCAACCCGAGAAGAATGGGCGAGGCAAAAAGAAACGAGTGGGAGATCCAAGGAGAGCTGCGGCAATCGTTGGATCGGCGCAGATGGTGTCTGAGCTCTATTCCTATTCCTTACAGCTACGTTATCCGCCCCAGGAAAGTTGATCCTGCAGATCAAATTGGTGCTACTGTCATGCTTCAGCTGTCCAACTCCCTGGCTGTGTGTTTGTACAACACCACCTCATCCCTCGCTCGGAACTGTCGGCGGTCACGGTGCATATTGCGGGCATAGGGTCGAAGAGGAGGACACAGACACTCTCGATCGGGAAACAAACACGGGCCTTTTTCACAGAACCGCACGCCTGCGGCCGGTCGTGAATGAAGCCACGACCAATCAAAAAAGACCTGAAGAGGAATCGATACATGCATGGCCTGGGTCACACACAATCAATATTCGTTGTCTGTTCGAAGGTATATCGCTCTGTAGCTGAACTATTTGCAGCTCTGTGTTCCAATGACTCCTCCACTTGTCTATCTCACCGGATCTATGCGCGAGACGTTCAAATCATCAATTAATTCCATTTTTCCACCCAATAGCATCGTGTGCTTGTCCCGGCACCTTCTTGGAAGTCGAATGCAAGAGCGCCGTCATGGCCACGTTCCGGCGTCACCGCGAAGACAACTCGTACTCGAACACGTAAATGGTATGTGCAAGAAATCGCTTACGGTGACTGCTGTTCAATTGTCCTTCATGCGCTCGTTTTCGGGCTTCCAAGACCCTATAGCATGTAAGTAGCTGCTTTAGCGGCGTCCTGCTCAAGGGCCAGGGACCACATACCATCGAAATCATGTCTCACGAAGGCCATTGGGTGCTCAGGTCCTTCCGAGCCCATCTGACCTACTCCTGGACTGAAACTCGTGATTGGCAGCACCACGACGTCGCCAATCTTCTTGTGTTCGGTGATAGCAAAGAAATCCGAGTATGACACGTTCGTTTTACGGTTGCTGAAATCAAAGTATTCTTGGTTGTTGAAGTATGAAAATAGCGCATCCGTCCACACCCCGGGTCCCGTGTATTCCATGATGCTCTTGGCTGGTTCTCTACCCTTTCGCAGACGCCCGGCCTTTTGCATGGCCAATGTGTCTTCGGTAATAGTGGCAACAATATCTCTCAAAACCGGGTGACCGGGCTTTGCCTGAATCGTCCATTGACAAAACTGAATTCTCCTCGCATACCACTGGTTCCAGTCGGGTCTGTCCGGATCGGCCTCGATTCCCACCACCAGGCCAACTGTAGACTTGTCCAGCGTTTGCGGCAACCAATCCGTGGCAGACTGGAGAGCTTGGGTGTCGATGTCGCTGTAGATCCCGCCACGTGCAAGCAAAATCAGGTAGCGAAAGAAGTCGGCGCGGATCACAGGCAGGGGCATGGCTTCGTATGCCTGAACAATTTCCGGCATTGAGGCATACAGATAGTTTATGAGGTGTAATGCAGCGTCGTCTGTCACCACCTCGTGGACGAAGCCGGGATGTAAATTTGACCACGACGCCTCAAACGGCCTCAATCTCTCCTCAAAGTTCCCTGAATCCGGGCCGTATTTCCATGTCTGCCATATGTATGCAGGGAATTTTGACTCCATGTCATAAGGGAAATGGTACCGTAATCTTTCTTGAAGAGGCCTGCCTTTGACATCTTGGACTGCCTGCTGAAACTCTTGAACGACATTTGGGGACTTGGGAGGGGGGTAGGGTCTCGAGGCCTGTTTCCCTGCAGCCGCACCTTCGGCTGAAGGAATGCTCGGTGAGAGAGACACATGCCGCAGGAGGAGAAACAACGTCAAGAGGACGATAGTAGCGAGGACTGCACGTCTCCAGGAGTGAGAGATGGCCATGACGGGTAACCCGTGTCGAAGATCGTTCCCGACTCGAAGCAGCTGCAATCAAATGTCCTGGAAGTCCCAGTAGCCGTCCTAGATGGCAGTAGGGACAACTTCGTGAAAAGAGCTATACGTCTGGGGGGAAATCCATTATCGTGACTCCAGCATTTTATTTTGTCCCTTGCGCCCCGTACGGTCCTGCCGCACCGATAGGAATGACAGTAGTGAAGGTGGAATCGAAGAGGCGACGAAGAAAGGGTCTCAGCTAGAGAGGACAGCAGGTAATGGATGGTCGGATTGGTTTGGCGGCTAGGGTTCGGAGGAGGAAAGAGCTCACTCTTTGGATGAGGACAGTAGAAAAGACAGAGTGAGTCGCAAGGAAATGGAGAACACGCACAGATGCGAGAATAGACTAGGAGTGGAAGCAATATACCGAATACCTAATGTATTAATTGGAGGTGGCACAAAACAATTGCGCATGCATGGCGGTTTTAGAAGCCCATCAAAGCGGGCACTCAGGAGATGTTGAGGCAGGCACATGGGACTGGGGGAATCCCTGGGGACTAGTTACAAGTATGGATTAAACGACCTTAGGCCCCTGGCTAAGCTTTTGGACGTTCACGATTGCGCATTCATGGCCTGGGGCCACGCGTCCGGGCCAAGTACGTACTCGTTACCAGCCAGCCTTACCGGTCATGCTTCGACGCCAAGCTGTCCGCTAGGTATGTACCCGAAAGGCAGGTCTTGCGCGAGATCGTAGAGGTGCCACTGCGTGCTGCGTGTTCCTCCTGCAACGGATGTTCAACCACCACCACCCTCCCAACCCACAGTGTCAAGACCTCAACCCTATTACTCGATACCACGGTACTCCGAGTGACGAGAGTAGACGTTGACTTATCACCAGCATACCACCACCACCTTCACGACGACCAGAGTGCTGAGTGCGGTGGGACAAGTCCAAAATCCAGCCGCATCACCATTTGGTTCATATCAAAATGGGGAGGCGAACAAGGCATAGATGAGTTATATTGAGCCTAGCACCCCGTGCAAACAGCCGCTCTCATGGAAAAACCCGTCAGGCACCCAATGCCATGTATCTGCTTCCTTACCCGGTACAGCCCAAGTGAAGACAATAAATCATCCGGATTCTCTCCGCATCCTTTTCCATCTCTCTACCTCTTTCCCTGTATCCAACGGAGCCTCATGAACAGCCTAATAATGCCCAACCACCCTCAAGCTTTCCTGCCCTGCCCACCATACCCCTAACCGTGCCTCTCGAAGATTCTCCCAGAGTAGCAGTTGTCCCTGCTATCGATGTTGGTGCTTGTTCTTCTCCATGGCTTTCTCGAGAATCTCCAATCTCTCCTTCGTCACTCTGATCGCGTCCTCCATCTCTCTTTGGCTAAACTTTTCCTCTTTGATCCGAGCCTCCACATCTGGTCCTGCTGATGATTTGCTCCTCTTTGGCTTTCGCTTTTGCATCGACCTCTGTTTCGCAGGATCGCGGGCTTCGTCTCTGTTTGATCGGCCGAAACTAGTTTCAGACTTTTCACGCAGCGAGATAGTATCAATGCTGGCGCGAGACTCAAGCCAGTCCCAGAACTCGTTTTCTTCCCGCAACCACAGAGAGTCGTATGCTGCCAGGCGTTCTGTATGTGATCTTGACGGGCCGAGCTGATTTGTTCCCCCCAGCCCACGCAACCACAACATTATGACCATTATAAAAAGGATCGCAACTATAACCTCCATTTTCACGAAAGATCTCAATGTGTCGATGACGGGTGACAATGGGCGCAGTGGCTCGAAAACTCCCCAATGTACGGCTTGTTTCTTTTCCTCTTCGATGTTTTCCTCTTTGGTTTTCTTCTCCCCTCTGCGCTTCTTCTTGGGTAATTTCGATGCCTTGCTAGCATTTGTCGTCCCTCGAGGACGGCCGCTAACCGCACCCTTGAGGACCTTCACCAGACTATCACCGTACTGCTGCTGACCTTCGTTGGCGCCCTTCTCAATAGGCCCTTTCAGCCAGGACTTGGCAGTCCATTCGACCGTGCAGTTCATCTGGAATCTTGTCGCGTTACCCGGAGCCCAGGAGAGACAATAGCGAGTTTTGGTACTGAATGCGCTGCCACTTGGTACATCAGGAGTTTGCGTAGTACATGTGATGCTCACTGACTTTTCCAAGTCAAAGAAATCCAAATTTTCGGTCGTGATGCATTTCGTTTGTTTAGGACCAATGCTTCCCCCTAGCGGCTTGATATAGGAGTACTGCCTGCTTTTGATGTCGCTGTTCAATCCCTTCTTGTCGTCCTCGAAGGCAATTTCCGTACATTTGCATTCATCGGCCAAGAATTTCCGCACAAAGAATCCGGATTCGGGGCCGTACAATAGAGAATATATCTTCCCTAACGGAGCAGGAATAACTTCGTCCTTCATGATCTTGTCGTAATGCGTAGCACTGTCCGAGCATTCGGTCGGAATATGACTTGCCGGACCAGGGAAGTCATTTGCTGTCTCTGGCAAGCCAGCTTGAGCAGCAAGTGGTTGCGGAACAGTGGCCGCTGTGCCGGCAAGAATGCTGGCGGTCTGCGCGACAGCGCTTGCGTTCATACCGGATGGTTTCCTAGACACCGTCTTGCCGTCCACAAGCTCACTCCCGGCGTTGCTCGCACTGCTTTCGAGAAGACTTGGAGCACTATCATCGTCGCCTTCTGAGCCCGATTCCTCGGTGGAACTACCATCACTGGGCTGAGCACTGGCTCCATTCTCTACCACAGTAGCTGCACTGGCCTCTTCCGCGGCCAATTGCTTCCCATTCATGCTCTTTTGAAAGCTTGCCGGATGACTCACGCGCCAAATCCCGATCAGGAGGTCATAAGTCTGCTCTCGGTAGATTAAGCTTCGAAAGGTGTGGCGAGCGTGTAATGTCTGGATGGCGATGGCATTGGGAAACACGACCGCCGTGTTTTCTCGCTCTATACTGACAACCTCCTCAAAGGAAATAACCACCGTAGTCACCCACCCGAGGATATTGCTGAAAAAACATATATGGCCTTCAGAGATGTAGATCCTCCCGGCCAGCAGGATCTCCTTCTGCAGAGCACAGCTGTAGTCTTCGATCAAATAGTCGTCTTCAGGGACACTCCGAAACTGTTGGTGGAAGTTTCGATTGCGTTGCTTGGGAGCCATTGTGAATCCCGATAATCGAGGCCCCTTGGCCGGATTGGCCAAAGTCGCGGTGCTCGCCCCTATCATAGCACCAATTGCCGACTGCCCAGTAGCTGTAGACGAACCGCGAGATCTCCGTTTCCCAATTCTGCTGCGAACACTCCCGGTTCGTTTGATCGAACCCAGCTCGGCTTCAAAAACACTCCCGTTGGGAGGCGTCTTTTCCCCGCCAGTTGCCGCTGCGATCGCTTGTGCGTGCCTCATGCTACTACCCAAGGGATCAGGAATTTCTGCCACAGGAGTGCCCATATTCGACAACTTTTCGTATGCAGCTGAAACAGCCCGTTTCGCCAGGGCGTCTTCCACTTTGGCAGCAACCTCCTCCTTTTCGGCTGTGGCATCTCGTTTGAGGTCCATCATATCAGGTTTAACAGACGAGAGATTCTTGTCCTCCGCGTTCAGGCCCAGGTCTTCAAAGTTCAAGTCTCCTGAGCCCAATGTCTCCACCGCCAACTGCTTGCGTGGGGCTTCGGGTTCAGGAGCTTCCTCCTCCTCCTCTTCTTTGATGGGCTCTTCGGCAGGTTTCTGCTTGGTAGTAGCATCGGAGGCATTGGTACCGGCACGACTCCGACCCTGGGCCGTCAGGTTCGTTATAGTGGACGCGGCATTCTGTGCCGCGGAGACCCAGGATGAGAATATACCTCCCGACGGTGTTCTCTTCTCTTCCGATATAGACAACACCGGGGCAGTGACTGAAGTGGAGAGCTTGCTGGGTTGATGTGTGATTGAAGAGGCCGAACGGATCCTCCGGTGCGATATCATGTTTCCAGAAGGACTCACCACAATATTTGAGGCATCTGGTGTGATCTTGGGCTCTGGCTTGTCCGTACTTGGGGGCGCAGTCGATGCGTCGAAACGATGGTCAGTCGGTGTAGGAGGAGTAACGGTGGTGAGCGGTGTGCCTATGAGAGCGTCGGGCGGTGTCAATGGCCGGAGAGTACTTTCGAGATTTGGCATTGAATTGGTATGGGGAATATTGGGGGTTGGAGGAACCACTGTCGTAACCTCAGATGGTTTTTGCTCTTCTACAACCTTCGCATCTGTCGTGAGGTTTTCGTTGCTAGCGGTACTGGCAATTGGCTCGGTTTCCTTCCGTTCGGGGCTGGCTCTCGGGCTCTTACTTGGCTTGCCAAAGACATCTCTAAACCTCCTTCCCGGTGATTTGCCTCGGAGTCTGCCTAGACTGTCACGAGGAGAGTCTGGTTTCAGAGTATCCGCTCGGTCAATCAATCCAGTGGAAGAGGAAACGAGTGAGGTAGACTCAGGTAAAGGTGTAGTCTTGGGTGAAGGGGAGTTGTCATCTCCATCAGGCTCAATGAGGGTAGGGATGCTGCTCATCGACAAATCTTTCGTAGGACTCTGTATCAATTCACCGTCGCTGCGGGTAGTCGTTGTAGATATCAAAGGCGACGACATGGACGCGAAGCCAGTGTGAGAGTCGCGGGTAACCAGAGGAGGCGTTTCGACCTCGGAATCATCTGTAAGGAGACTGCCATCGCCATCGCCACCTTGACTGCTCCCCCTCCGGCTCAACTGTGCTGGAACAGATTTTACACTCAACCCAGTACCGGTTCTTCCTCTTGCCAAATCTTCAACTGCAGCCTTGAGTTCCAGTTCGCGTTGTTTCCTCCTCTGTCGCTTGCTGTGGCCAGGCAGCAATTTACGGACTCCACTACCGCCAGATTTGCTGCTCCCATCCTGACTGATAGAGCGAGCGCTTTGTCTCGTGGGGGATTTGTCGAGGGTAACAGAATCAAGGGAGTCGGTACGCAGATCTTTTATGGTCTCGTCGCCGAGCAGTTCAGACGAACGGCGCCTGTTGGAGAGAACTTTCTTTAGACCCTTCAGCTGGGGAGAGGGTTCGGGCATCGTAGGGGCGACATGGGGAGAGGATTGGGCAGACACTGCGGCCATTCAAGGCAAGTCCAGGGCTGAGTTGAATGTGATTGTCAGGCTGCGACGTGTGGCCAATGTTTTAAGAGCAATGGGAGACTAATCCGCGTGATGTCACACGGACAATGGTAACGAACGGCATGTGGATCCTGTCACAAAAGGAGGGGGAATACCCAGCTGTTATAATATAAAAGATGGCTAAGAAATATCTTGAAAGACGGAGGAAGAGGTGCAGGCGACCATAAAGGAGAGGTAGAGGAGGTGTAAGTCGGGGTGGAAGCGGTCACCGTTAGTCGTTTAGTCGCGAATCGAGATGCATGGAGTTTTGGTTGTTGTGAGTTCAGGCTGCCACCTGAGGGCTTCGGTACGGGGGCGGGCCAGGGTGATTAGCTGGCCTTGGAGTGGGTGGTTGACGAGCTTGGGGGGTTATTCGAGCCCCGTAGGTTATGCTCGAATGGCTTGCGTAAATCGGAAAGGCACCCACGAATGCGGCAGGCGATGGGCAAACAGTAATTAGCCAGGCGTGCCAGGCTGCAAGGGTGCAGGCATACGAGTACGACGTATAGGCACAAGTATTTACTCCGCGTATTTGTGCGGCATTCTCACGCGTTCCACTGGAGGACGCCGAGGTGCATCAGCTCAGGCTAGCTAGCGTCACCCAAGTGACCTCAGCACCTAAGCTGCCCGCAGCGCTCCTGGGTGGCTCGGGAACATGAATGTGCCGCACCCAGCAATCCAAGGCCGCAACAAGCACCTGCTTTCGGATGGTGCCACCAGTGCGGCCGCGCTTCGGCTCCCGTGTTAGGGGCTAGTGGTCTCAAAGCTGGAGGATGGGTGCACCCAGGAGGTTAGGCGCAGATGGGGGGAGCCTCAAGTCCCCACCCAGATCTCATCCCAGCCCGCGTCACTGCAGCCTTGTGACTTTTGATTTGCGCCATAACTTGTTTCCCACCTGCGAAGACCCTCGAGTCAAGAGAATGCCGCTTGCGCCTCACCGTCCTATAGTTTGTCGATGCACTGCAGATAGCAGCCCGACAACCTTTGCACACTTGTCGGCTATTGAACTAAGAATAGATGGAGACTGCACCACTGACTCTCGTAAGCACCATGTCGGAGATTGAGGATTCCAACGACGCACATACTAATCTTCTCCTACCCAGGCTCACACCCATGCCCGAAATGCTGCGCTCGAGTCGCGCCGTCACAATCCTGTTGCCGCCAGCGAGGAACATGATCTGGCCGCGGCCGAGTTCGCAGCTGCGGCCCAAGAGACTTCCGACTCTGAAGCGCTGCGCGTGTTGAATCTCTTGGAACAACATCACAAGAAGCTGGGTCAACTGCTGAGGGCGGCTCACGAGAGACCGCCAGTTAAAGAGGTGCCCAACCAGCCATCAGCTGGCGATGGCGAAAATGCGCAGTCCGTGCCAGAGCGACAGAAGCAAGAATCCGATGGACCTGCTTCACCCGGTGCCACCGTCCAACCCCCCAGGCTCCCCAGAGCCTTGAGGTCAAGCACTCGCGAATTGTCTTCCTCGATTGCAAGCAACCTGGCGTCTGCGAGAGGGATACCCAACAGCCGACAAAAGCGTCCTACTCCAATCTCGCCGCTTGTCTCGAATCAACATGCCGATGGACATAATGCTCAAGATGAACGCAGGAACAAGCCCGGACCCAGACCAAATACAGATTCCCCAGACGCTCTCTTGTCCATGTCCCGCCAAACAGATTCACGTCCATCATGGGCACCTCCAATAGCAGCCTCTCCGACAAAGGCAGATGCCGCAGAACAGCCAGAGGCCCAGAGCTCGGATGCCCCGTTTCAGCAATTCTACACGACTTTTGAGAGTCTTGTGTCAAAACTCAGTGCGCCGCTGGCATTTGCAGGCTTGCCTCTAACAACCACTACACCATCCAAGTCACCATCTACTCCCTCTCAAATACCCCCCAAAATCCCGAAAACTGTGTCCCGCCCATCACCTGCAGCACCGTCCGTCGACTACTCCCAGCTCATTTCACGTGCTGCCCTACGCGCTGTTTCTGGCACCGGCAATAGCACGTCGAACCCATCCGAGTCATTCTACGTTGTCCCCACCACCGGTGGCACAATCTCGTACGCTGAAATCATGTCCCGGGCCGAGCGTGAAGAGGCCCGTGCTGGTCTTCGTGGACATGGCCATCACCGCCAGCCTTCTGCACTCTCAAATATCTCCGAAGACGATTTCGTCGACGCACAAAGTACGATACTTCCGGCTCCGGCCAACGGGCCACCCAGCCGCTTTACCAGAGCCCGTGGGGTTACTGATGAGATCAAAGTGAACGGCAAGACGATGGAAGAACTCGCATTGGAGAATCAAGCACTCAAGCACCTCTCCGACACGCTTTCCAAGAGACTACACGTTTTTGAGATGTCCGCTCAAACTTCTTCTGCGGCGCTAGCGCAGAGCATTCGCTCCCTACACAACCGCTCGCCTATGCTTTCTCCCGAAAACTCACGGGGCAAGACCATCAGCGGGAAGATGGGGCTAGACAGCGGCGCGATGGCTGGTATCGGCAATAGTGGCGGAGCGGGCAACCGTGACACGACCCAACGCCGAATAGCAGAATTGGAAGAGATTCTCCGCAAGAGTGATGCGCGGGCAAGAAAGCGGGAAGAGGAGAATGTCAAACTGAAAGAGACCATCACCAAGTACAGAGAGAAATGGGATAGTCTCAAGGCAGGAGCCAAAGCGAGAAGGGCGCGTGAAAGAGCTGGCCGACCTAGCAACGGCGACAAGGCAGGTACTGGCGAGGAGACCACCACCGAAGGAGGCGAAGACGAGTCTGCCGCAGGAGGCTGATATTGTCTGGCGACAACCAGAAAGACAACGGCAGCCGCATGTCCGCGTGGTCGTGGACAAGATCGCGGACCCGGACAATGCAGAAAGAACATGGTGACGCGGACACAATATGTGGGATGAACGTGGGCAACATATGTCGTGCTTTGCCGTGCCGCCTGGTGGTCCAATGACTACTGATGTAGACAATTTTTTATATAAGGGGATCCGATACCCGCCCTCCCTCGGCACCCTGATGTGATATATGCTATACATACGATATAACGAAACCCCCGGGCTAGTCCTAACTAGTGAGGCCTAACGAGTAAGAAGGAATTTACAATTGAAAAAGAGAACAAAGACATGCGGCTGCCGTTGTCTTTCTGGTTGTCGCCAGACAATATCAGCCTCCTGGGGAAACTTGATATTAATGTCCGGGAAGCTTTTTTGATCTGCGTGTTTTTTTCCGAGTCGTACCTGACGGATAGATAGATATCTTGAGATCGATATCTACAGAGTATATAACTCTCCATATATAGATTATCAGACTTGCAGTAGCGCGGTGACCAGGTAGATAGATCTGTTGTATATGTCCTTGAAAGGGTAAAATCTCCTATTGACTCCGACATGCTCCGTACACGGCTTGTGGGGAGAATATTATATACTAGCATTACTCTACTATGACACCCCTTCAGCCTCCCTATCATGAACAGCTGGTCTTTATCTGTCTGCTGCACTGTCCCTGGTGTCATCGTCACCGCCATCACCATCTGGTTCGGTTCGAAACACTGGACCATCCTTTCCTTGGTCATGGCTTTCCTTCCGCTTCCGACCGGAAGTGCGACGACTCATCATCCCACTCAAGGTCTCGCTCAACGCCCGTAATCTGGTCTTCCTCTTGCCAATATCACTCTCTCCGTCGACGGCCAGATCAGGCTCGACTCCATCACCTCCATCAGGCCCTACCGGTCTGGCCTCATGCGTCTGGGCGCGGCTGAGATCTTGAGCGCTGTCGGCACTACGATTCTGCCAGTGCATGTTCAACGCTGCTAATGGGTCGAATCCGTCAGTGTCCTCGGTCACAGCAACGGTTCGTCGTCGATCGTCGATGGAGTGTCGCCCAGAACGGGATCGGCGAAGTGCAGCCCGCACGGAGTGGGGTGCTCCCTCGCCTTTCAGCAACGAATCTGCCACCAAGGCGCTGAGCGAGTTCGAAAGGGGTGGCAAGAGCGGGCCTGGGACAGGAATAAGGCGCGAGATACTTCCCCTGGAGCCACGGGCGAGGAAGCTGGGAACAGGAGAGTTGTCATCTAGGGTAGGTCTTACAGAGCGGTCTGGGCTGGGAGGTCGAGGAGAATCCGACGGTTTTGAAGGTGTTTCCGCCTCAGCAGGGGACGAGCTGGATCGTTGAAATGGTCTTGATGTGGCCGGGGTGTAAAAGGGTGTTGATTCCTCGTAGGCCCCACTAATTCGAGGTGTCAGCGGCGGCTGCGAAGCGTCGATTTGCTCAGTGGAGGAAAGCCAGGGGTTAGAAACGAAGTCTTCGGCCGGTTCTGCAGGGGTCACTGAGATTGAGGGTAGTATTGAAGATGCATCTGAGAATCGTCGCGGCGTTTGCGGCATTGCAGTTGCAGGTTGAGCCTGCTCTGAACTGGAAACCACTGGATATCCGTCCGTCTGTGCACGCAGTGGCTGTGGTGCATCGCGTGTCAATGGTGTCCGCTCATCGATGTCCCCCCCTTCCTCGTCAAGAAGCTGTATCGTCTCCTCCTCATCTCTAGATGTTTCTTCAGTTTCACCTATCTCGTGCCGCTGGCTCGTGATGAGGTATACGCCAAAGAAGGTCAAGAGACATCCAATAACAAATTTGATTGCCTGCTCCGATGTCGTATGTTCAAAATCTCGGTACAGCACCGCGGAGCCGATGATGACAGAAAGAGTGAAGAGAACAAATTGGGTCGGTATAACCTGTGTCGAATCGTAGTGCTGTAAGGCTCGATTGAGATAGCGAATCTGCAGAAGCGCCGAGCCAACGAGAACAAGCACGAGGAAGTAGAAAATGGCATAGGTAAACGCTTTGTAAAGGGACACAGACAAAAGTGACGAAACGCCTTTGGTGGATAAGACGGTATAGCCTCCACACAGCGCCACCAGACCAAGGTCGACAAGTATGGTCTTGCGGCCATGTCGTGGCTCTGCGTACATCAGAGCTCCGATAAGCAACAGCGTGATGATCACGTAGAGGAGGAATTCCCATCTCTTTATGGTCTTCCACAGTTCACCGGGCCCAAATTTGGCCTCACTGGTTTGAGCAGACAACACAACGGTGACAGCGCCGGCAATAGCAACCAATACTCCGTACAAGTCACGTCGTCGGAACCGTTCTTTGAGCATGAGCGGGGCAATCAGACAATTCGAAATCAAGGCGACAACCCCTAGCGGACTGACAATGGATGCGGGAGCAAAGCCATAGGCAAGAAAGTTGCCCGCCTCGCCTATGATCATCATCACCAGACCAAGCCACCAGTATGGCGACTTGAGGTAGGATGCTCTCTCAGCATCGTTGGCCGAGTCTTTCTCGCGGCGATGGTCGTGCCGAGCAGGTCCCAGAGAAGGTTGTAATGTCTCTTCGGAGGAACGTTGCGCTGATCCATCCGTTGCTTCATCTATACTCCTTTTGCGACCGGATATTTCGAGATTTCTTCTCCTCCGCTCCTCTGCGATTTCTTCCTGTTCCTCGTTGGCAAAGCCCGGTCCACACCCAGGAGCAGCGTGGCCATTCGCAAACGATTTCCTGGATTCGGAGTACTCGCGGTCTATCAGGATGTGTGCGTATCTCTGGGTGTTCAGAGCAAAGGAGATGAGGAGATTCCCGACAACCGCCGCAACAATACCGATGAAAGACGACCACTTTTCGTACCCGGCGCCGGGCTGTGCGCCGTCTTCAGAGGCAGAGAGGCGCAGTGAGGCTGTCGGGCGGGCATTGACCGTGAAAGTTGCAGCGGGTATGTGCATTGGGAAGGGCGGTATCGGTCGGTTCGATCAAAACGATTTGTCTCCAGACGAGTCTGGGATCGGCCGGAAAAATAACGCAGATCCTGTCGGAGGTTGAGAGAGCCAACAGGCAATTTGGGTGTGAGGGCGCTTCATCTAAGGACATCAGCGTGTCCATGCGAATGATACAAGGTGTCTCGGTATGTGAAATGTCAGAGCCATCACGGGCTCAGTTGTTTGGAAAACAAGGAAGAGGAGAATCAGGCCAATTCCAGTAGTCGTGAGTTGGAGCGCTGCGGGAATGGTCGCATGCAAGTTGTACGTCGTCGTGCAGCAAGCATCCGGGGCTTGGCAGCACAAGTAGCTCGGTACGGGGGAGTACGGCGAGGATAACGAAAAGAGTTTCGAATAAGGCCTGCCCCTGCCGCCAGTTTAGCTCTGTTGCGCTTAACTTGACCACAGATTCGGAAAGCGACTAAGCTGATGATTGGGCGCTGGCTTTTGTAGCCAATTAATTGCATTGCTCACTCTGGCCTTTCAAAGCGGCGCTGCCAAGACTATACTTGCGGTCGCGATCCTAGTTAGAGACCAACCAAGGTGTTAGTGAACGTCCCCCTTTGCAGCACAACGCGGGTTGCAGGGAACTCCACTGGGCATTGCCGACTGTGTTTGAACAGGGTTCGGAATTGAGGTGCAAATTTTTGAAGGAAGTCGAGCTTCAACTTGAAACGTCGACATGTTCGCCTTGGCGGATATTACGGGACAATACCCTACCTGGGCTAACCGCGCGGGTACTGGAACGCCTCGGTGGTACCTTGGTCGCCTTTTATACTCCTTCGCTGACCTGACCGCAACGTGAATTTCAACTTCAAGGAGGATATTTTCAGCGTTTCTGCTGATCCATTTGAAAAGAGTAATATCCCCGACTTGAGGTGATGTTGCCGCTGCTCAAAATGATGTCGTCGACCCTTCCATCATCACCGCCGAGCCAGGGATGGATCGTCTTTATCCTGGTTGCTCTTATGAGTTGCGTTCACGCCACGGTTGTCTGTAATGATTGCCGTCCGCTTAGTCTCCAAGAAGCCCCAGGTATGTGCTACGGAGGGCCGTGACCTCATCCACCCCAATCCACAGAAGGAGACACTGAGGCGCTTTTTCTCAGGTGTTGGCTTGTCTTTAGCACCTAGTTATGGGTCTGCACCGTCAGACAAAGGAGGTGCAAAGGAAAATATTTCTGATTGGTTTCAGCTCTGCAAGCATTCAATTTGCCAATGGTACGATCTCCGACGTTGCTTTAATATATGGGTCCGAAGCATATATTCGAGCCATGAAGCTATGGGACCATCTTGATGTTGACCCCCCACTTCTGGACCTCGAGAAAGAGTAAGTACATGCACTCGTACCTGGTCGAGGTGTCTGCGCCAAATTCTAAAGTACCAAGTTCTGAGACGAGCATATTCCCTCCTTTCCTACAACGACTACGATCGTGGTATCAGGCGCGGGTACAGCACGGCGCCGAAACCTCGCCTCAGGCCACCTACGAGGAACTCATCCCGATCGCGGAGATGATGAGTACACTTTTCTCCGAGGCGAATAAGTCAGTGCCCTTATCGAATAACTTGGTATTCCTGGCGATCCCAGACTTTGAAAATAGCACCAGTGATACCTTCACCCGGCCAATTCGCCAGCTTGTCCAATTAGCAGGACTTGACTGCCTCAGGTTCCAAAGACAGAGTCAGCTCTCACTTTTACACCTCTATGACCTGGACAACTGTTTTGGAATCTGGCTGGACTTGGTAACCGAGGTTCCTGATGAAGAGTGCGAAAAATACAAAGGCAGACACATACAGTCGGTACTCTCCGTCCATCTCGATCGATCCTCTCTGAATTTGCGGTCAATGATACGCGATGACGGTATATTCCTTCACACGCCGGGCTCCGTCAAAGTCCTCTGGGCGGATGAAGATGCCAAAGCGAATACTACAGATTGGGACTGGGTGGGACGTGCGCTTGAAGACTTCTTACACGACCACGATCTCATGTTTGATCTCCTGCTCCTCTCCGGCGCCCAGGTCACGGATAGCAATTTCCAACAAATCATCCGAGATAGGTTCAAAGACAACGAGAAAATCGTACCTCAGGACTACTTGCGAGTGTCGAAGGATCACTTGTTTGCCGCGGCGAGGGGAGCTGCGGAGCTTGCTAGGGTCAGCTTGTGTACGGGTGACGATGCATGCATGCCTAACTCGTGGTGCCCGATCAGTGAGCATTGTAGGAAATGGGCATGGCATTCGGATGACGATGCTCCAAGGAAGACAGAACTCTAGGGGAATCTTCGCGTGGCATGTGAGCTGTAAGCAAGTATCTGCAAGGAGTCTGTGAGAGAATGATCATACGCCTTCCAATGACGATGCGTTCAGTAATGATTTTGTCTGAAAACACTTTCCAAGGATATCATAATCCACCTTACTCCCTTCTCTTCCGTTCAAGGTTGTGTGGGGCAAGTTGCGAATTCCATTGGCGCTGAGAAAACCTGCGGAGAATTCATGCGAGGTGGGCGCAGACCTAGCACTGGCCGAACTGCTCACAGCGACATTGTTTCAAAGGAATACAGTGCACAGCTTCCTGTCCGAATATGACATGCCAGAGATACTCGAAGACCCGCCCGCTCGTATCGTCATCTAGTGGCGTATCAAGGAGCCACTGACGGTAATGCTCGTAGTCTGCCTGGCTGCGTCTCAGAGCCTGCTTTCTCGATATCGCAAATTGCGAACAACAGGGTTGAGCGATAACCTTGGGTATGTCGGAATAGTTCCCCCCAAACATGTATGGCCACGCTTCCCTCATGGCGTGCTCTGCCGTGCGGCGCTCGTCTTGTCGGTCGACTTGTATTTCTGCTGGGCAGCCCGGGTCGGGGACGCAGCGCATGTTGGCATATCCATGCTCTTCGAGGTATGCAAGCCTCAGAGACCTGATAGAATTGATTTGGTTGTGATTTTTACTGTCCGTATGCCATGCTGCAGGCCAGCCTTGCAGATGTGGATGAACGAAGACCATGTAGGATGGCAGAACGTCGTAGTGATCGATCATGAATGTGAGGTACGCCATAGCCTCTCTGCCTTTGTTGAGGGGTGGATGAAGCATTCCTCCATCTGGTTCATCCATGTAGTATATCGCCTGTTTCCAACTGGGCGGGTATCTTCGTCAGTACCCACAGAGTCAGTCATAGAGGGGATCCCGCGTGACATACTCTTGCAGATTGTCAAAGACCCAGCTCACATCTTCTCCGTGAGTCTTTGCCAGAATCACCGCTTTGTCCTCTGCCTCGGGTCCTGAGTAGATCCATGCTTTGGAACCATTGGGCTTCTTGAGGCCGTTAACCCTGTTAGATTCAATACGAGGACTCAATTTGTCGGACTGGTAACCCAGTCGAAATCTGACGGTCCCGCCAGTCTTCAACTTCCAGAGCAGATCTAGAGTCAGTAGGATGAGGATCGCGACCACGGATGCCAGGCGATATTGGAGCTTCGACAACAACATTGGTACATGGCAGCTCGCTTCTTGATAGCTTCGACACTGCAGCCGTGCGATATTCTGACGACTCTCAAGAAGAACCGTGAAGGCAAATAGGTCGCATCCAGCATACTATGAATAATAGCGCGCACATGTTGTGACTGCGACTTTACAATTGACTCGCGCATTGGTCGATCTTGTTTGTTTTTTTTTTTTTTGGTATGAGCAGCGACAAAGACCCACCAGCATGGCTAACATTCGATAGTACCGAGTCCTCTGGAGGGTTTTAGAGACGCGGTTCAGCTGGCGAGATCATGAGTAGTCAGTTGGCGACGGTGGATACATTGGGATAGACGCGTAGAACGTTCGAAGAGAGCATCGTCCTAGGCCCTTGAGCTTGACAACGGTTTTATTGCTTGACAAAACACGTAACTTTGGTGGTGCCAAAGACATCTCCACCAATATCAGGATCGCCCTCTTCGATGGTGTTTGTTGAAAATATTGTGGGCGTGACGAACAATTTCCTTTCGCTCTCGCACTTGTACCAGGCGGCCACTAATAGCGGTTCAGGTTACCCCAAAATAGTGGCCAAAAACACCCAATTTGGCAAACTGTTTACTCGTAATTATTATTACAAGAGTTGCCTTTGCATACTCGTACAGCAGTGTGCCATCTTCAAGTCTCTGCTGCAGCGCGCGTCCGTCGACAGATCTGACGCTGAGGACTATCGTAAACATTGACCATCAAGGATATGAAGGATTGCGGACTGAAGGATTGAAGGAACGCTGGACTGCGTCGGGCCGCAGTATCCGAGATATTATTACAATTCTCCAACCTCCGGCTTTTATACATCTGAACCACTTCATCCGGAACATCCTCTATTGATATTAATGTGGCGCCGTGATGATGCCTTGTGCCATCACTTTCCTCCTCTACGCTTGCCTCTTCATTGCACTACTGACTCTGATTTGGATAGGTGACGCTGAACTCGAGTTATCGGGGGACTTGGGCTGATCACATTATAGCCTTCTACGACCCAGTATACTTCTGGTGTATTCGTAAGCTATATCCCGATATGGTGCCTCGGGGACGCAGCTGCAATGCTGTGCGGCCTGGCCCCTGCCGTGAAGCAATTGCAAGAAGATCTTCTCGGTTAATGCAGCAGGGGAACGAGCTCTGAAGCTCGATGGAGTCCGACTAAAGCTTGGAGGAGCGAATTCGTAAACATGTCGATGTACGTGATTGGAACATATGAGTGGCTAGGTGTAGGCTTCTTACTGGTGTGTGCCGGGACTACCATCAGGTGGCTCGCTTTGTCATAGTTAGTCGGAATGGGCGAAGGAAGAGGCCGCAATGGCCACCGCTATCGAAGCTGAGGACGGTTTGAAATCATGATTGTTTCAGTTAGCTGGAATTGACAGGGTGAAGGACCGTGAAATGCGCCATGTGGTTACCAGGTAGAGTAAGGATTGTTTTTGAAGGAGGATGGGGTGGAAGACGGGATTCTTATAGAACTCAAAAGCGGCGGCGGGCCCGGCCTGCAACCATACTCCAAGGGGCCGGGCCGCCTAAACCGCAGGCGGATTTACCTTACTTGTACCGAGTACACAAGCAATTGATGCAACGGAGAGGGTCGTCCTACATCCACATGTCTGTTTCACATTGTTTTTGAGTAACATTCCTGACTGTGCCCACATTGTACAGTACCTGGGATCAGCGTGCTTTCCCTCATCATGGACGCCACGCTTTGCCAGCGCAGCCTCTCCCTCTGCGAAGAATCTATCCAAGCCCTTCGAGGAAAGATATGTCCAGGTTATACTCAAGATGCTTATTACAGGCCTTGATTGTGGGCACTATTGTCACTGCAACCTTCCTATTGTACGGACTACGAGCCTCTCGTGCCTCTTCGTTATTTGCGATTCCGATAGTCAAAAGTAGCTTCGACTGGTCCAACTACAGTTACCGACATTCCGTCAAATCCTTTGCTCCTCTTCCGACAGGAAAGCCCCAAACATTTCCTCGGGTCCAAAACCAATTTCGGCGGGAATCCGTATCTGCGGCGATACGGAGACGGTCACGGCAGCAGGTGATATTGAAAACCTTTAAGAAATGTTGGCAGAGCTACAAAACTCATGCATGGCTGAAAGATGAGTTACAACCAATCTCGGCAAAGAGTAAGGATACACTTGGTGGATGGGCAGCCACCATGGTCGACTCTCTCGACACTCTCTGGATCATGGGCCTCAAGCAGGAATTTCGTGAAGCTGTAGAGGCGGCTGCAGGCATTGACTGGGCGGTAACGTCGGATACCTCATGCAATATGTTTGAGATCAATATCAGACAGTTGGGAGGTCTACTCGCAGCATTCGACCTGAGCCAGGAGCCGGCTCTGTTGGCAAAAGCTATCGAGCTTGGGGACATGCTGTACGCGGGATTCGATACCCCGAACCATATGCCCCCTTTCTGGCTGGACTTTGAGAAGGCAAAGACAGGCCAACTGGTGGCAGATCAACAGCAAAGTTCAGCCGCATTAGGCTCGTTCGCCCTTGAGTTCACTCGCCTATCTCAGATTACAGGAGATCCGAAGTATTATGATGCTATCAGACGGGTGACCTTGACGTTTATCGAACATCAAGCCTCGACTCAGTTGCCGGGCATGTGGCCAACCTTCGTTAATGCCCACGACCAGAGCTTCGTCGGGGATATGTTCACACTAGGAGCCCAAGCAGATTCCCTCTACGAGTACTTGCTTAAGCTCCATTACCTCTTGGGTGGCTTAGAGCCAGCTTACGAGAAAGCTTACAGGGAATCTATGGCTACTGCGATCAAGCATTTGTTGTTTAGGCCAATGCTTCCTAATAATACAGATATACTCGTCGCCGGCTCCGCAATTATCATTGCTGGGACTGCCACACTTAGCCCGGAAGGTCAACACCTAAGCTGCTATACTGGTGGAATGTTCGTCCTAGGGGGAAAGCTCCTTTCGCTTCCAGAGCATGTCGACATTGGGGCAAAACTAACACAGGGTTGTATCTACGCTTACAATGCATTTCCAACTGGTATCATGCCCGAGACCTTCCGGATGCGGCCCTGTCCATCGCTCCAAGAGTGCGCGTGGGACGAGACAATGTCTTCTAGGTCACTACCAGAAGGGTTTGTTTCGGTCTCCGATCGATCGTACTCGCTTCGTCCAGAGGCTCTTGAAAGTGTGTTCATACTCTACCGGACAACCGGGGATGCGAAATTACTAGACGCCGCGTGGACTATGTTCGAATCTATACAAGCTGCCACGGAGACCGAACACGCCAACGCTGCCATCATCGATGTGACTGTGGCTGGTAAGCCATTGAAGAAGGATTCAATGGAGGTAAGAGCTGTCCAAAACTTCGGAGGCTGCAAACCTGTGCTGAGAATTCCATAGAGCTTTTGGCTGGCAGAAACGCTCAAGTATCTCTACCTCATTTTCTCGCCGCCTGATCTTGTCAGCCTGGATGAATACGTCCTGAATACCGAGGCACATCCCTTGAAACGTCCGACGTGAACTTGTGGCTGGTGATCGGAAAACTCGAGGTTTCAGTTTCGTGAGAGCCTCTCCAGCGTTACAGCGTGGGACCTTGAAGATGAGATCAGAACTCGGCCAACCACTGAACGCGAACATCGCGCCTGTGGCCACTTTATTTTACGTGTTACGCGACGAGGCTGGAGCCAAGACGACCCAGTTTTTAAGCGAGTCTACACCACACGTCCAAATTAGAGCGGCACCATGATTATCCCAATATGGATGACTTTGGCAGCATACATCCCCATATAAGAGAAACACTTGCCTAGTATCCAGTATCTAACATTCTATAAACTCCCTGCCTGCTCACCATGTTTCACGCTTCTCTGCGCACTTTTCTTCTCAACTGTTAGAATGAGAACACTGGAACCGCGCGTGAGGACCCAGATTCAATCGCCAGGGCTTATGAGACGTGGATATCTGGAGTCAGCCTGGTGGGGAATGGGTATATGGCTATTCATTCACATCAGATACAGCGCCAGGTAAATTTCTGCAGACGTCGATGGCGTACTTGTCGAAGGGACAATCCTTATTTTCTTGTGAGCCTTTGTCCCGGCGCACGTGATATAATGCCGCTCACTGGCGTTGTCTTCTGTGCCTCAGGACCCAGGGTCAAACCTCAAGATTGACAGTCTGAATAGCTCTCACACATTGGATACGGCATGCTCGTACTCTAGAGAAGACGATAGCAGATATATACCAGTCTATCAGGAAGGACGTACAAGTACACTACTGGGAGAGGAGCATGGAATACTCGTTTGCAAATCTCGGCGAAAGTATCTTCCGCCCCGTCACCTTCGGATGAACCGTTCCGAGCTTCCTTCCGCTTGTCAGGATCAGGCTCAGACTGAGGCTTTGGCAGCCTTTCAATTTTGCCTGGTCCATTCAGTAACAAATATTGACGCGCCACAGGGCCACTACACCAGCACGTCGTGAACATTCGCAGACCAAGTTTGCTGGTCATATTCTCCCTTGTCCGATTTTCCTGTACTTGCCTTCCCTCGACCAGAGTTGTTTTGCTGTCATGGATCGAAGCCTAGACGAAACCATTGCGGAACGCCAGGTCCGTCCCTGCAACTGACCCTACCGCTAGCTTCTGATGCTGATGATCTCCCAGAGAGCAGACACACGCTCTCGCAGAGCGCCTTTACCGCAGCAGCAGCGCCGTAGAGAATACAACTACCCTCGCGATGGCGTCAGAAAGGTGGGCGACACAGTCTCTCGTTTGCTTGCCCGCGTCAGATCTGACTCTCGTGGTGTTCAGGTCGGAACATCCTCTCCTCTCCTCTAGTACCCGCCTGTCCCGCCAGTACGATTGATCGCCGCATCATCTCGACTTACCTCACATGTGTTGCTCCGACAATTCGACGCGCTTCAGGCCAGGGACAGTTTGACAGACGAGCTAACCTAGATCTTCCTCCCCCACAGCCTGCTAGGGATGATCGCACGAACTTGGACAAGTAAGGGACCACACACACACACACACGCACACACGCATATGCGCAGTGAAAATTCAGGGGGCTAAACCGTCTGCAGTGATTGGGTTCACGACCGATACGATGACGAACCAGAGAGTATGGAGCTGCACAAACACAATAGACAATGGCGAGAGTGACTGACGGTGGAAGCAGGCCGCCGCTACGATCGACCAAGGGAAAGCAATCACCGTCGCGATGAAGATCGTTCGGCAGAACGCGACAGGTAAGACTCGGTTGTCGTGAATGATTAGACCAGGGCTGATTGTTCAGAAAACCCCCTCCAGCCAAACTCAGAGTCGACAATCTACATTATGACCTGACAGAGGATGATATTTGGGTATGCCGTTTCACGTGCCCGCCGGACTTCTGGTCCTGACATGGTATAGGACCTTTTCCAACGCATTGCTCCGGTGAAGGAGGCTCGATTACGCTATGACCGCGCTGGCCGTTCTGAAGGGGTCGCCTTTGTCACCTATGAGCATGTCGCCGATGCAAGAGCTGCGATCCGCGAATTCGACGGTGCCAACGCCAAAGGACAGCCAATCCATCTCACACTGCTCCCACTCCCGAGACGGGACAACCCGTTTGATCGCGTAGAGAACCCCAAGAGCCTGTTCGACAGAATTGAGGCACCGGCTAGCCGCAGTCGACGACGAAGTGAAAGTCCGATGGAAGAACTTGACGAAGAGCGAAGAAACCGCCGCGCGCCCCGACGGGGTGGCCCGAGAGACCGAAGGAGTGACACCACCAAACCTCCTCCGGAGAACATTGATCGCTACATCCCAGGTCAGCGCGACAGCCGAAGTTCAAGTCACCGCGGAGGACGGAGACCAGGTGAACGGAGGGAGCGCGCCGGCCGAGATGGAGAGGGCCATAAATTGGTGAACGGCAGGCCTCGAAAGACCGCGGAAGAACTCGATGCAGAGATGGACGACTATTGGGGACACGGCAACACGCACGAGGGCACCTCGGCCAACAGCGCCTCCGAGGCGCAAGAAGCTCAACCCGTCGCTGGGGATGACATCGACATGATTGAGTAAAGGATGACTGACTGTCAAGGACCCCCAAAATAGGCAATTCTGTAAAAGTAGTTCCTCCGCGCAGAGGAACCGGGAGCGGAGGATGGGGGAAAGCCCCTGGACCTTCAGACGCCCGCAGGAAAAGGCATGAAAAGGAATAGGCAAATCCCAGACGAGATTGAAAATCCAGACTCTGATTCTTTGTGTGAAAGCTAAAAAAAAAAAATGATTGGATCTGAACAAGAGAGCAGAAATTCCACTCGTCTAACTTAACCCAGCTTGGCCTGCACAAAGTCTTCGACAGCCTTCAGGCCTTCTTCGGCGCCACTCCCCTTGACGGTCTTGGGGAACATGATGTAGCCGTGGGGACCCCCGGGCACGATTTTAACCACCGACTCCGCCCCGGCCATCAGCCACTTCATGCTCATGAACATTGTGTCGTCCAGGAGACAGTCCTCCGTGCCGCAGGTGAAGAGGGCCGGGGGCAACTTTCCCCTCAGCGGCTCCAAGTCGGCGAACAGCGGGGATATGGACGGGTGTCTCTTCTCGTCGTGGCTCATGCCGGGGAGAAAGGCGTCGATATAGTGGTCCATCAGGTCCCGATCCAGGATCAATATCTGCGGGCGTTTAAAGTTGTATACTTGCGGGGTCCATATCATCGAGTAACACCCAAAGTGTAGCAGGAGGCCCTTGAAGCGGAAGTCCGAGTACTTTGGGTCCTGGTGTTGCAGGAGGTGAAGAGTGATGAGCATGCTTAAATGTCCACCAGCGGACTCTCCGCCCACAAACTTTAACGAGGCTCCAAACTGAGCCTCGGCGTTGTCAACCAACCATTCCGCGGCGTCGAAACAGTCGTGAGGGCCTGCAGGATACGGGTCCTCAGGCGCAAGGCGGTAGCCGACCGATATACACAACATGCCCGTGGTGTCTGCGATCTCCTGCAAGGTGGGATCTTGCGACTTTTCGTCCTGAAGAACCCAGCCACCGCCGTGGATGTGAAGAAATACTGATTTGATGGGGTTTCCGTTCTGAGGCCGCAGGATTCGACAGGGGATGGTGCGGGCAATATCCCGGCTTGGAATGGAAAACTCCTGCGCAGAATCGAGATAGACCGCTTTAGGAAGGGGTGTCTCTCCGGCGGCGCGCATTTCGCGATAGCGTTTGGCGCCGACCTGTTTTGCAGAAAGAGACGGTTGTGGTTGGTACAGGTATTGGTCCAGAACCGGAGTCTCTATAGGGAGAAAACAGAGGCAGGGTGTGCGTTATGCCCTATCCATGAAACTCACCTCGTACCATTTGGGCCCGTGTGCCATGATATCCATCAGTCCCTGATTGAACGCTTTGGTCTCTTCTGAGATGGCGGCTGGGTGGAACTTGCTGGTCTCGAGGGTGACAGCATTATGGGCATCCATACTTGGGACTTGCTATGGTATCGGCGGGCAATAGGGTCAATATTCGAGGAGTCGAGGGGTTCATCAATCGCAAACACAGGACGTTAGTGTTGGTAAAGGACTTCTTTGACCTCCCACCCTCAAGACTGTGACATTGTTTTGAGTGGACTTCTCCACTTGGAGGTTGATCAGCGTAGGAGCCGAGGACATCTCCATACGAATCGGATCATGAGTGCTGTATCTCCGACTGTCAGCATTGTGTGTTCTCTGTGGGGGGATCGAACGTCTTTAGGTATCTCTTTTCTGAAATGCGTGGGCGGTAATGTAAGATTGCGCCCTTCAAGGGACAGAGAGTACAAGAGGGAGAGAGTAGGAAATAAAGGGCCGGTGCAAGCAGGCAATATGCATATAGCGCGTTGATGCTTCTCCGTGGATAATTACGTCGGAGCATATAATTCCTTACCGCAGTCATCTTCGCCCTCCGAATTTTAGTCTGTCATTGCTCTATATCAAGGCAGCATCATCCTGTATCCAACAACTGTCCTCTAAAGTCTCGCCATGGAGGAGGATGCATTCAAAGACTATCTGCCGGCCTCATTCGGAACAACTGGGGGTGAATTCGACGTTGAATCCCAGATGGAGACTGTGAGGAGGAAAGTCGCCGGTCTGCCTGAGCCCAAGGGCAAGGATTTGGCCAGTTCGAAAGGTGACAGCGACTCGGACGACGACTCCGATGATGATTCGGAAGATGAAGACGAATTTCCTGTTTCTCATGAGATCGTCTTCAAAACCCACGATCGTGCCGTCACCACAATCTCGTTGGACTCGTCTGGTTCGCGGATGATCACCGGCTCGACAGACTGCACAGTCAAACTATATGACTTTGCTGCCATGGCGCCCAACACTCTACGGGCTTTCAAGTCTGTGGACCCTACATTCACAAAGGGCTCGGCGTCGTCGGAGACTCATCCGGTGCATACCGCCAAATTCAACCCAAATTCACCAAGTCAGGTTCTCGTCGTCTCGGCCACTTCCCAAGCCAGGATATTATCCCGCGATGGCGAAACACAGACCGAGTTCGTCAAGGGCGACATGTACCTCCGCGACATGAACATGACCAAAGGCCACATCAGTGAAATCACCTGTGGGACGTGGCATCCATATGCCTATGATCTCTGCGTCACTGCCGGAACTGATAGCACCTTGCGCATTTGGGACGTGAATGTTCGGAATAAGCAGAAAGAGGTCATCGTCCACAAATCGAAGCTTGCGGGCTCAGCTGGACGAAGTCGAATGACCGCTGTCGCATGGGGCAGTCAGGTTGAAGGCGGGAATAGTCTTCTTGTCGCTGCCGCGCTGGATGGCTCTCTGCTCATGTGGGGAGGGGACGGACCTCACCACAGACCTAGTGGCGAGATCACGCAAGCTCATACGAGCGACTCTTGGACAAGCGGCATAGACATCAGTGCCGATGGACGACTGGTCGTCACGAGGGGAGGCGATGACACGATTAAGCTATGGGACACCCGCAAATTCAAACAACCCGTCAATACCACAACTCATACCTCGACATCAAGCCAATACCCAACTTCGAACATCTTGTTCGCTCCGAATGCATCCTCTATTGTCACGGGCTCCGAGACTGGGGACCTTCACATTCTCAACCCAGCAACATTGAAGCCCGAGCTCGTTACTCCCGTCACCCCCGGGTCACCTTTGGTCAGCGTCCTCTGGCATGACAAATTGAACCAAATAATCACCGGCAGTGCCAACGGCGAAACGCACGTTCTTTTCAATCCTAAAATTTCCACAAAAGGAGCGGTAATGGTAATGTTCAAGCCACCCAAGCGTCGCCACATAGACGATGACCCAACCCTCACCACGGACATGTCCCAAGGGGTGTCGAGCGACGCGATCATCAACCCAGGAACCGCCAGTGAGGCCATTCAGGGCAGCACATTTGCCTCGAGACACCCAACCATCGGGCTCACGGCGTCAGGAAAATCGCGCGATCCGAGGAGACCGCACATTCCAGCCACCACACCGTTTGGCAAGAGCCAGCCCGATGAGCGCCACATCAAGGAACGGATCCCGCTCAGCACGATGAGAGAAGAGGATCCGCGAGAAGCCCTTCTGAAATATGCCGACAAGGCAGAGAAGGATCCTATGTTTACGAAGGCATGGAAAACCACACAGCCCAAAACCATTTATGCAGAATTAAGCGACGACGAGGAAGGAGATGTTGGACCACAAAAGAAAAAGCAGAGAACGTAACTCTTCAGGTTTGACCCTTTGCGAGGACACATGATATAATGTCGCTGGACGGCGTTATATCACGTACTTCAGGACAAAAGCTCACGAGAAAATGTGGGACCGGCTTGCTGCTTGGGAGAATAAGACAACCTTTTGAGGGGATCAAGAGCATAAGACTCCGTTCGAAGTATGAAGAGAAACCGTCGATCCCAATTTACACAGGCCTGCCATAAAAAGCGTATACTGTACAGGCGGAGTCGCTGAGGGCCAAACCGAACTTCTTTTCCTCCATCTGGTGGACATGCAAGACTCTTCAAACTTCCTTCGCCGGCTCGCCGGTAATGGCTTCCATAATTCCCTTGCGGGATGGATGAACGAGCCGCTTGATACCCAACCAAGGAGTATTCATCGGGGATTCGCCTGTGTAAATCAGAGTGTCGTACAAGAAGCCGCCAAAGGTGCATCCAATAAAGGGGCAGATCATCGGAACCTGGGAATTTCCATGTCAGCAACGTATGCAAATGGCGAGAAAACAAGGACAACGCACCCAGAAATAGTATCCTCCGGCGCTCCATACTTCATGGCCATAGCCCACGAAATAGGTGAATAGCCTGGGACCAAAATCTCGAGCCAGATTAATGGCATAGCCGGTCTCCCAGCCAAGGGTTGCTCCAATGCCAAAGATCAAGAAGAACAATCCGAGAGGAACCATTACACCCGCTCCCAGGTTCGCATCGTCCTTCAAGGCAAAGATGACAAACACCAGCACGGAGCTCGAGATGATCTCGGAAAACACTTGGCCCGTCTTTGTCAGGAACGGTTGCGGGTAGGTGCAGAAGACGCCCGCTGTGGCATGGTCCGAGAAGCCGGGGACGGTGCGGATCGACGAGCCCCCTTCATACGCGTCGATCGCCGACTTGTAGTTGCCGTAGATGACGGCCGCGCCGCAGAAGCAGCCTAGCACCTGAGCGGCCGCGTAAATCGGGAACTTGTACCACGGAAACTTGCGGTACAGGCAATTCACAAATGTGATGGCCGGGTTCAAATGGCCTCCTGCGCACCCTGCGACGTAGACACCTAGCATGACACCGATGCCCCACCTGTTGGACAGAAGAAAATCAGCAAATTGGCCAGGTGTTTTGTGAGCACGGAACGCATTTCACGATTCACAGGCCTCACATGCATTGAAGAAGGGGGAGTGGAATCTTGGAGGGTTGACAGTGATGGACTGGGAGACGAGAGAGAAGCAAGACACGTACCCCCAGGATATGGACTGATATTCACCCTTGTTTTGACTGCTCGGGGGCAGATTGGGATTCGCACTCAATGTCACCTGCGCCACGCTGCCGTCGCCAAACAGGATCATGATGAATGTGCCCATGAACTCGGCGAACGGGTCTCTCAGATGGTGCCTGATGCGACTCCACAGCAGATTCTTGTGGTGCTGATAGTCTTCCTCCGCCTCGCTGTATTTGAGCGCATTGTCGATAGGCGGGCCGTGCTCTTGATGATACGGGTAGGGCACTTGTGGGTTAGGGTCCATGCTCCGCGCATGTTGTTCGGCATCGTGTTCGCGGTGGGCAAACGTGACTTCGTCCGAAGCCCGGTCCGACGACGAAGAGCCGGCGGTGCGCATGTGGGGGAGGTGGAAGGGGTGTTCTTTTTGTTTTTCGAGATTGTCCATGGTGGGACAGAATCTTAGAACTCACGCTTTGTCTCTAGAATGGGGGCCTGGCATCTATGACTGAGGCTGAATGGACATATGGGGACGAATGCAAAAGGGAGGAGAAAGAGAAGTCAATGTAAGGATCCAGATGGGGTTGCGACATGTTTGACTTCATATGTATGACTTCAGTTAGCTATCGAGTCGTATCGCCTACCTCTGAATGTGGTCGTAAGGCCAGACGTTCCTATCAGATGACAAGCCCACAACTGTGGTTCGGGAAGACTAGCATGGAGGACTCGATAGAAAAAGGCCGCAAAATGGATACTACCTCCCGCGGCAGGGGTGCAGAGCAATAGCTTCATCGGCTCTTGCACGGAAAGGTCCTTTCATTTTCTATTCCGTCACGAATATTGATTGGTTCAAAGCATTTTTGATATCTCATGGCACTGGGTGGTTGGTGACACGCGGGCCCGTTGGCTAACAGGCGTGGTCAGCTTCATCATAGCAATTGCGGGATGTGCATGGGGAATTCCGACAAGGAGGACGCTGTTTGAACTGATCATTGATGATGCAGACCGACGTCAGTGGCAATGGTATCCCTGAGCGGAGTGGAGATGGAGGTTCTCTTTCTGATGGACGAAGCGCATCGCAAAAGGAGGCATGATTGGGCCTGGTAGACGTCATTCAATGCCGAGCCCATCCATCGCAGAGAGCGGAGAGTGCCAAGATCATATAGTCAGAGGGGGATCGGCGCAACGTCTGTGGTCGTTCTTCGGAGGGGTCATTAGCCTGCGGGGGCGGAGGATGTAAATCGAATTCTTCTTCTGATCGCTGATAGTACTGGACCGTAAACACCAATGAAGGGAGAGACTGACCTGGTGAGAGGGTTGTCTTTCGGTCCCTCGTGTTGATGGTGTCCCGAATCCACTTGTGCTCCTGGCGACCACGGGCTTGGGAACTCCCGCTCTTTTGCAGCCGGTATGACCAGAGCAGTGGTTTATGTACCTGTCAGCTTTTGTCCATTCGACAATGTGGATTTTCCTCGTGTTTCTGAAGTCGCTTTCGTTTTGGAACCTGTCGGCCAATGAGGCGTGGTTCACACCGACGGGGTTTTAAATGCCCGGTATTGTGTGGAAGATGCCTGCAAGGATGAGGGATGTCTCAGCACTTGGTGTATTTCCGCAGACGATGTCGCTACCGCGCCGGGTATAACGTCTGAGTGGGTGGGTGTCTCGTCGATGGAATGGAATTGCCGACTCTGAGATCAATCACAACATGACGTCAAGTTTCCGACAGAGAGATGCGATATGGGAGCAAGTGAGTTGCCCCCGTTAGCTGTCTGGAGGTCTACTCAAAGGTATATGGGATTTCTGTATGATGAGACCACGAGATAATGTTCGACTTGATACAACCAGCACCTTGATGGAATCTAGGTAAAGGTGAAGATATTGAACAAGAGTCGGGAGGGAGAAGTCCTCGAAAAGAACCGCATGCTGCTTATCGGCACGTGATGATAAAAATGACGACTTAGAACTAGCCACATAGAGCACCTCAGTTTGAGCTTCATCCAGACACACCTTCCTATTCTTCCTTTCGGCGCCAGGAGATCATGTTGACTCATTCACGATGTGACCATATCAAGTCGCGGAACTGCCTACTGCCTGTTATGAAGCGGTTGGGGCTCTATCAATGGCAGACTACCCTATTGGCGCACCCTTCTGACGGCCTGATGGAACCTGTACAGCCGCCTCCACTATTGTCGGATGAGGGGTAAACAGAGCAAAGATTACTAGATGTGGTCCAATTTTGCTCGGTCGAGCGCCGCAGTCTGAGATTCGGTTTTGTTGACATTGCCATCTGCTCAGACCACATCTCCTGAGCCCTGAAAACTGACCTCTTCGTTAAGCTGTTTCGGAACAACAAATTCTCCAACCCTCAAAGGTCGAGTTCGTTATCTGCATCCGTCCCTCCGCTCGCTTCCTCTGTCACCATGGCCGATGCAGCAACCAGAGCAGCCGAGACTCTCCGCTCAAAGCAGAAGCCTTTGAAAGACAAATACCGATCCGACCCTTCTTCCGCTCTCGTTACCTTGTCCTCCAGTGGCACTCTTGACCCTACCTCAACCAGCCTAACATGTTCCCTTTCGTCGAGCACCGCTGCGCGAAAAGTGGCTGGTCTACATCGAGCTGCAGGTGGGGAAGGATTTGATGCCTCGGGCGAATTGTGCTCGGGAGACATGCTGCTCGAATCACTGGTGGCTTGCTTTGGTGTCACGGTTCGCGCCGTGGCTACGAGTCTAGGCATTCCTATCAACAATGGAACAATTACAGCAGAAGGAGATCTAGACTTTCGCGGCACCATGGGTATCAAGGACCCTGAGGGCAATCCTGTGCCGGTTGGATTCACAACCATCAGGCTGATTGTGCGGCTCGATGTTGACCAGGAGAACAAGTCCAAGGTGGACAAGCTTGTCGAGCTGAGTGAGAGATACTGCGTGGTTTTGCAAACGATAAAAGGAGGCGTCCGTGTCGAAACCAAACTGGGGCACGTAGGGGACGTGGCCCCCAACGCACGAAAGGATGAAGACGACGCTGTCCATCAAGGCAAGGGGGAAGGCATGTCGGACATTCCGCCCAATGAAAATGTCCTCAAGGTGAACTGAGACCTCTCGAGAAATCGCATTCATGACGAAGTTTGCTCATGCCATATACGAGTACGACGACATCCTGATTTCCTCGTAGATTTCCCTCATGGTGGTGTATACTAGTGCAGTAGCTTCTTCCTGATCATAGTCCGTCCTCCTCGAAATTGTGCCTGGTGTGGCTGTGTGGCTGGTGTGAGGACGAGCTCAGCCAATGACAATCGAGATCCCTGTCATCCTCGGTGGCTGTGTCGCTCGTCTCCAGCCACAACGTTATTCTAACCGAACTGCGTCTCCAATCCATCGTCAGATCAGGCCACCCACCGGCTTCAGCTAATTACCCATCCTGCCATCAGAACAAGGCTGCCTGCTCTTACTAGTACCTCGTGCATATCTCAACGGCTAGTGTGGCCCGCGGCTTCTTCCCGAAAGCCTATAAGTGTCCCAATCCTCAATCGCCCCCAGCGCTTCAGCTTGACCTCGATCAACTTTCACCTCACCTACAACCTTGAGAGATCAAAGATTAAAGGACTTGCCGCCGCCGGAGGATTGCCGCTCTAAACACCATGTCTAGTCAGGACTACTACTACAATAATCCCAACTACAACAACAATCAGTATCCTGAGCAGCACGGTTACAATAACGCTGGCGACCAAGGTTATCAGCAATGGCAATCTCCATCTGGGCCTCCTCATGGATACGGTGACCAGTCGTACAATCAAGGCTACGAGCAGAACAGACCATATGACTATGCGTCTCCGCCGCCACAAGACTACCAGCAGCCATACGGTCATCACGGAGGTTACCAAGGCCCGAATGACCATTATTCCGATCACGCAAACCAATATACTTCCCCTCCACCCGAACATTCGTATCATCAATCCAATTATCCCACTCAAACCCCTGACTACGGGTATGGCGACCAGGCTCAACGTGGCCACTCACCTCATCCACCTCCTTACCAAAGTCAATATGACACTTTTACGCCGCCGCCAGGCCCACCACAATCTCACATGGGCGATGCTTACCCTCCACAACACGGCGCCCCGCTTGACCCCAATGCTCCAGTCTCTCAGGATCGCGGCCTCATGGGCGCTGTAGCTGGGGGTGCTCTGGGTGCATACGGTGGCCATAAAGTAAATCATGGGTTCCTCGGGGCGGTAGGAGGTGCTATAGCTGGCTCTCTGGCGGAGGATGCCCTCAAAAAGCACAAGAAGGAGAAGAAGAACAAAGCCGACCGCCCTGCAGGGCTCCGTCGGGACTCTTCGTCGTCTAGCTCGTCCTCCTCGAGCAGCAGTTCATCGGACGACGAGAAGAAGAAAAAGAAGAAATACGGCGTGGCTGCCGCTGGCGTGGCGGGCACTGCTGCGTATGGGATGAACCAACATTCAAAACATCAGCAAGGCCAAAGGTCAGCAGCGCCAATGCATGGCAACTTCTCTTCTTCTTCGAACAGCATCACGCTGGACAGGGACTACGACCTCATCGCCTCCTGCACCAACGTCCATGGCGAGCACAAGCTGTCCTCCATCTCGCTGAACGACTGCCTGACCAATTCACATGGTCATTTTGCGTGGTATCGAGGAGGCAACTTCGGGGCCAGCGCACGAAATGTCAGGTTGATTGAGAACGGCAGAGTTCTGGAGGCTGAACTGGGTACCGGGGACGGCAGATGGAACAGGGACTGGATTCACCTGGACGAGCGCATAAGCAACAACGACGGAGAGCTGATATTTCTCAACTAGTCTGACCTAGCAGCAGTTGAGAAACTAAAGCTGTGGATTGATATCACGATGTGCATGTGTTTTGGAAGTTATTTGACGATGAAATGTATGGTTTGATTGAATATTTTGGACAACGACTTGGTTTCATTGCTTCTCAGGAGTGGGTGACCGATGGAGAACCCGTTTAGATTGCAATTTGTTTCCTCGACACGATGCTGAAACCTCTACCCTTCTTCTCTGATACTGACGAACGAGATGATTAGCCGCAGAGCGACCCTCACGCCAATACCCATTGTCCTGCCATTGCACAATGCTCTGAGTCTCAAAGGCCTTATTCGTGGTTTGATGTATCTGCCCCCCCGCCCCCCCCCCCCCCAAAAACGACATTGCATTCATACGTTCTGTCCTTGGATATGGAGGCCTGGCGGCCTGCCCTGATATATTGACAGGCATCTCTCTCTGTTCAGAGCGATTGCGCAGCCTACCACTGAGCTCACTGGTTGTTGGGCACAAGCCCTCCCATGGCATCACTACACGGGGCAGACCTGTCGTCTGTGGTGGACAGAAACATCGGTTGTGACTGACGTCGGCGGCAGCAGCACCACACCTGGTCCGAATGCTCCATGTCTGGCGGCCCAAACGACGGAACCAGGCCTAAGAGGCATGATTGGTGTGCCCGCTTCACCATCTCCTGATTTCACATGGTCTTTCGTTGGCTGCCGTTAGAGGGCACGTGGGAGCCTTCTCCTTCTCCAGCGTTGGGCATGGCGTGATGTCTCTGTGTCTCTGGTGTCAAGTCCCAGAACCAAATGGCAGTTCTTTGCAAAATACTTGATCTCTCTCCCTCTCCTTCCAAGACCACCTTGTGACCCGGAGGTAGCATTCGACTGCCACATATGGCCTGATCGGTCAGTCTCACATATATCTACAGCATCTAACTTCTTACCAGGGCAGAATACATACGCTATTGCCCTCCCCCTTCACGCCGGTTTTACTCGCAACATGGTAGGCGAGAAAGGGGGGGGGGGAGTGAAAGACCACGTGACACGGGAGACAAGGCTGCATCTTTTCAGGGATTTTCTTGGCATAGGACGCGGCATCCACGGACAGCAGCACCACCACCACCAGCTGAACACTGGGGTATTGTACTATATATGTACTCGGCACAAAAGGGAACGAGGACAAAGGGAACGAATGAGTGGGCTGGTGAGTTTTCGGACAAACTGCATCGCTGTTGTCGGGGAATGGGACCTGTCTCCCACCCCCACCAGGTTACGATCCAACGCATTTCCATGTGCTCGTCTTTTATCAGCCCTTAGCCAGCGCTGTGTTGAAACGATAGGACTTGTGCGGAATTAAAGACAGAAAGTTTGTGGAAAAAAGAATCCATTCTATTGAAACATTGCCCAAGTTCCCAAGATCGGTAGGGATGGGCTCCCTCGTCTCCCTCCTCCAGCCCCGGTCATATACTCATACATCGCTCCCCCCTCCCGCGGCCCCTCCCCTCAAATAACACGACAACTCGCGCTCCGACCCCTCCTGCACACCCCCTCTTGTCTCCTCCTCCCTTCACCTTCCTCCCCCTCGCCGGCAAGACCGCCTTACCTGAGGTGGTCGCCCTGACGAGCCTCGTACTCAACTTGTTAAAGTTGAGCACGGGCTGCCTCCGCCGCCGCATATTCACGCCGGTGAACAGCCTCCACATAGTAGGAGGTGCCACCTTGGGCGTTGCTGAAATGCAGCGGCGGAACGGACGCCACTCCCAATGCACCCACCCCTGTGCCTGCCAGACGCGGGTCCGTCGGTGACGGGGGTGGAGACGGAGCCTGCTGGCTCGACACCGAGGTCGATGTAGCCGTTGCAGGCAGAGGATGCCGAGGCCGGGTTTGGGGCGGAAGGGCGCTCGTATGAGCGCCCTTCCGCGCCCTCGTGCGCTGGGCACCAGGCCTTGTCAACCCGGGGTATTCCCCCAGCTTCTCCGCAATCCATTCGTCGTGACTCTTGTTGTCGACGTCCGAAATGATTGTGTCTCTCGCCACCCCCTTGTGCCACCAAGCAGGATGCAGATCTTTCGGGACTCGGCGATAGTCCTCTGGACCATTGCCGAGCCCGCGCCGCAGCGCCAGAGTCTGCATCCGCTTGCGAAGTTCGAGGACCAACATCTGGTGGTCGGATGGGAGGGGTACGGGCGCGACATAACCGCCCAAGAAGTGGTCAATTGGGAGACCGCTGTCGACAAATCCACGGATGGATTTGTCGTTGCCGAGGACAGGCTTGAGAAGGCGGTTGTTCGGGAGGTCCACCACCATGCACGTGTTGAGCAACAATTGTTCACGAGTCCTCTTGGAAATCAAGTCGACTTCCCACGCAGTGGGATGCTGGCGGCTTGAGGTGAATAGCGGAGCCCAGATGTATTCTCGGAACCGCAGGCGCCGCATGTTAAAAGTGTTGCCTTGCGGCGTCCTCGTGCCAGCCAGCTGGTAAACACGAGCCATGATATCGCTCATGTCCACTCGCGGGTCAAGGCGAAGCCACAACTCCATTAGCATCCCGGATACATTGGGCGCTATCCACCTTGGCAAGTGGCTGAAGTACCTCAACCGTTTTCCCCCGATGCCTTGTTCGACTTGGCCGGTGGCTTGGTTCACAAGCAGAGGAGCGTCGACGCCGTTCAACACACTGGGGTATGGTTCCATCTGAAATAGGATTGGATGCAAATTGTCCTCTGAGAGCATGTGAAATGGGTGAGGTGAATGCTGTCCATTAACGGGCTGTGGTGGGATTGCCTGTGAAACGTATCTGACGTCTGTGGTTGGGTCATATCCAAGAGAGTATGCTGGAAAAGGCTGTTGCGGAGGGGGATTTGGCATGGTGGTAGGGATTGATCTTTGACCGTTATCGACAACACCGGGTGCATTGAGAATCAGAGTCTTCGACAGCTGGGACTGAGCGAGCAAGGAAGCCATCTTTGTTTGTGTCTGAACAGGTTCGTATGTTTTCTTTGTCGCTTTCAAGTCTCGAACGATGTGGCAGATGTAGTTGACAACGAACAGAGACCAGGATCACGCACGGTACAGCGTTAACCTCTTATTATTTCTCTTGTCTTGAGAATGCTCTGTAGACTTTGCCAGTTCTGAGTTTTCTGGATTTGTTTCAGGTGCAGACAGAGACGCGGTCGTCGAGACAAATACTCTCCAGATGGTGTGAAAGAGAGACTGAGGTAGCTGCTAACTGTAATTTGGGTTTGGTAGACTTAACCGGCGTGATGATGAGGTAGAGTTTGTATGTGTGAGAAGGACGGAGGCTGCTGTGAACGCACAATCTAGTGGCAGAGATCTCTTGCAGGCTGTGGTCTGAAAGGGGAGGATCGATGGCTAGGATCAGTAGTTCTTGAGATGAACGGAAGTCCTTTGCTGGCACTGAGACAAAAGCTATGAGATAAGTCTGGGCTGAGAGTCGAGGGCAAGATGACTGTGCGACTTAGATTGTCACCGTTGTAGAGGATGAAAGGTGAAGCTGGTTTTCTGATACTGTCGAGAGAGAGACGGGTCGAGATTCAGATTCGAAGCCTGTACTAGAGCAAGGAAAAGGCAGTCCTAGCGGTTGAGGCAGTTGAGGCAGTTTGACAGTTCGATAGAAAGAATCCCTGAAAGTTTCTTGTTTTGATGTGTGTTGCCAGAATCAAAACTGTGAAGAGTTCTGTTGTGCCAGTTGTGCGCAACTTTTGGTTGCTTCACAGAATTCACAAGGCTGAGTCCTCGTGAAGACCAGACCGCAGCCTCGCGTCCCAAATTCATTCGTCGACCATTGTGCGCAGTCTCACTCTTCGTTCCCTAATTTGGTCTCCAGTGCCGCGTGTGGTTGCACTTCTTTCTTGCCATTGTTCTACCTCTTTGTCTTTCCAAAGCATGACCTAGCATCCTTAAGACACAAGGCAGCCTTGTATGACGGTCTCATCAAGCAAGGGTATTGTCCATCAATTGTGTCAACCCCGTTCATTGACGCGAGAATAGGCAATCCACCTACTGCCTTTGGCGCCCTGTTATCTTTGGCTGACGACAAGCCTCAAAGCGACGAAGGCTCTCGTTATCATATATCATATACTTCTCGGCGTAGTTTGAACTTTGTGGAAGGTGTGCAGTCTGCTCATATCGCCATCCCGTGTGAACTCGCTGCGACAAGTTCGGTCGCAAAGGACTATTGACTGTAACATCGGCCGAGCTGGGGATCTAGTGGCATGACAATCGCTTCAAAGGAAGTCCTGGTGAAGTGCAAGCTCGAACTGTTAAGCTATCGTTGGTTTGTCATTGTACACCTCTGTTGCTCCGACGCTGCTGTGGACAAAGCCATGGATAGTGCTGGGTGCAGTCTGGTTCTGCTGCATGACTGGTTGCAATTCTTCACATTCTCTTTCTTTCTTTCGCTCGCATTGGCTTCGCTCGCCCGTGTCTCAGCGCAAATTTCGAGGTTTGGGGTCTTCACGGTCCGAAAGCTGATGCATTGTGGAGCGGGGACTAGCTGGGCGACCGTTGCGCCATCGAATGGGGCTTTGTGGTATGTGTCCCGGATTCCGCCAGAGGCAGCGATGCTATCATGAAGCTGAGTGACAGGACTACTCGCTAATCCACGTGGTAGAATCACCGACGCAGTGCTGCTAGCTGTGGTGTTCACTTCTCTTCACCAAATGGATAGTTGAACTTCAGAAGGCCGTTCAAGCCGCCCACCCAGCCATCATCTCCATCGGCACCAGCGCTGATTGTCCTCATTATGCAGGGAATGCCGCCAGTGAAGGTCCCTCTGTCGGTTGTGATCTCTTCCGCAGAGACTCGAACCTCTGTACCCACACCGATGCCTTGTGTGCGGCCTATGCCGTCGATACTGACATCAACCTCCCGACCTCTGTTCTTATCGCTCAACTTCAAGGTTATGGGGGTAGTGGATGGCAGAACAAGGGGGCGAAAACTCAAACTCCGCGGACAGATTGGCGTCAACAACAAGGATGGAACTAGGGGATGAACGATGCTCCCGCCGCTGCTGAGGCTGTATGCTGTGCTCCCAGTTGGTGTGGAAACAATCATCCCGTCGGCGACTGCTTCGGTGAGGAATCTACCGCCCACATAAACATTGACGATGGCAAGATGGGGGTCTCGACCTCGGTGTATGATAACTTCGTTCATAGCATACATGTCGTCGGAGAAACCCCCATTACTGCTGAGTCGGTTCCCATTTGCATCGAAGACGCCAATCTTCAGACGTTGTCGGACCAAAACTCTTGCGCCTCTTCCAGGCCCCATGGATTTGCCACGGACAGACGACCAGCCAGTGTAATCATTTGGGCCGTCCAAGTCGTTTGAAGCTTCGCGTTCAATGACGGCATGTCGCTCAGAGGCAGCACCCGACATATATACTTCGCGGATGGCCCGTTTGTATTCGGAAAATTTCCACTCACTCAAAAACCCGAGAGTACCCATGCTGAATGACAGGATAGGTGGCACGTGGGAAGAGGTGGCGAACAGTGATGCCGCGTGCAAGATGGTTCCATCGCCGCCGAAGGTGACAACAAGGTCGACTTTGTCCTGATACTGCAAGTGTGAATGGTTTTTTTCAGGCAGAGTAAAGTGCCGTCCAAGACGCTCTTCCCCAATTCCCGCCGAGACCCTGGGCTCGACCACGATATTCACATCTGGATACGTCGACGAAACGTGTCTGGTAAAGTCCAGAAGAGCGTCCGTCGTTGCGTCTGAACAGTCCTTTTTTATCAGCAAAAAATTCCGGGGTGGTTTGGACCATTCGAGACAAAGAAGTTCCTTTGCTGGGGTGTCCCTGAGACGAAATGTTCTCTTGGACGGAAGATCATTCAAGGAGTGACTGGTTGCTTGCGAAGACGTTGAGTAGGAGGCGCGGGCGCGCTCTGAAGATGGCGGGAGAGGGTTCGAGGCCGTCTTCAATTGCGATGGTTTACTGAGATGCGACATGGTGGCGTTCCTTATTCGGCCCAGAAGACGTCCAGTGGTGGCGAGGCCACGACGGCTTCTGACAGAAGATATTGTCGCCATAATGGAGCCTATTTGTGACCTGATGCGAGTCGGAGAGTGCGTTGAAAGAGAAGGTTAGATCGTCAGATCCAGCCATAGATCGTTATCGTTGTCGGCGACAGATGGAGGAATATCCATGAGGAGTCAAAGGAAAAGAGCAAACTGAATTTATCTGGCCTTCCCAGTCATTCTAGATATTGTCACCTGTCAGACAGACGAAGCTTCGACGATAAAGAATGAAACCATGCGCGAAGGAGAGAGCACCTGATGATGAGGGTTTCGGTAATTGGTGTTGGTGATGTGGTCGTCGATTCCAAGCACGTGATAATCTGACCCCTCACGTGACAAGCCGGTCCCTGCTTAGTCGCCCCGGAAATAGGCGGAAATGTCTAGGCGTTAGGGGGCTTGGGGGTGTTCCTGCACCTTGGATACCTCTAAAAAGGCTACCCACGTACACCCTGTCCCGCCTATCAGAAATCCTGTGGGTGCCTACGCGATACCTCTATACGAGGTACGGTTAGTCACATCGCTGGGAGTTGCCGCAGTCCACCAACCTCACCTTCACTCCCGGCCTATTCCAGACTTACAGTACATACTCGTATCGGTAACCAACTAGGTACAGAGGCATCGGCACCAATAACACGTCTGCCTGTTGGATGAATTGTTGTTGGACACAAAATTCACAAACTCTCACAATTTCCACCTTCCGACTCCTTGATTGTCCGCTCTATGCATCCCACCTTTCCTGAAGGTCATTCTTGGATCTATCTATCACCGCCCATCGTCTAGTGTCGATGGCGTTTCTGTTGTCTATTGTTCACATTCGCTTTGCCTAGTGCTGACGAAACCCGTCCATGACAGTCATTGCATTATCGTTGTAACACAGACTTGACGTTTCTCCGTTACCTGCTCACAGGCGAACCATGGCGACCGAAGACCATTCCCTCCGAAAGCGCATCCCTCAGTCCTCACACACGGCCGACTCAAGCGATGGTCTAGGTGATAGCAGCAGGCATGGCGGCAAGATACCGCATCCAGCAGGCGAAGTCAAATACAATGTCCTGAGCCAGATCCTTCGTGCACTTCTACTACTTACCTGGTTCAATTGCGGCGCAGTCTGTATCAATGTCACCCAATTCCTCGGGGCACCACTATATTGGCTAAACAAAGATTATTATTATGCATACATGGCGTTGACCAAGCAATCGTTTGCTATCATGGGAATCGCAGGGACTCGGTGGTTCTCCCCTACGAAGGTGCGCGTGAGTTGGGACAAGGATCTACGAGGACAGTTCCGGAAAACATCGGCGGGCAGGCTCGAGACGGCGTTTCCTGAACGGCTGGTATACATCGCCAATCATCAAGTGTACACCGAGTGGTTGTACCTCTGGTGGATTGCCTACACTAGTAGGATGCATGGCCACATCTTCATCATTCTTAAAGAGTCATTGAAGTACGTACCGGTCTTAGGTCCTGGCATGATGTTTTATGGATTCATTTTCATGGCACGCAAATGGATTTCGGATAAGCCTCGCTTGAAGCATCGGCTGGAGAAGCTCAAGACCCGACATAGCGGTCCCATGTCTGGCTCAGATGGACTGGACCCCATGTGGCTGCTGATTTTCCCCGAGGGCACCAATCTCTCTCAAAATATGAAGCAGGGAAGTGCCAAGTGGGCTGCAAAACAAGGTATACCTGACATGAGGCACCAGCTTCTGCCACGGAGCACTGGTCTGTTGTTCTGTCTCCAGGAATTGCAGGGCACTGTCGATTGGGTCTACGACTGTACCATTGCCTACGAGGGCACACCGTCAGTGCATGACTGTCCCCTTTTTTGTCACGGTAGAAAAGCTGACCCGGCCGCAGCAAGGGAGGGTTCGCCCCAGATATCTTCACGATCCGATCGACGTATCTGCAGGGCCGACCGCCGAAGAGCGTCAACATGTATTGGCGTCGGTTCGCAATGTCGTCCATCCCTCTGTCAGACGCCAAGGAGTTTGAGCTTTGGCTGATCGAACGCTGGCGAGAGAAGGACGAGATGCTGGAGCAATGGTACAACACCGGACGTTTCCCCTCGGACGCGGAATCTGCCGATGCTAAGCACGGAGTGTCCGAAGAGGGCTTCATCGAGACCGAAATGACACTCAATCACTGGATGGAAATCGGCCAGATTTATGTGGTTCTGGCAACAGTCGCACTAGTGGTCAACGTGGTGGTCAAATCTTTTGGTATGTTTGGAAGGCTGCTGAAATAAATTCGGGGGGTCATGTTTTGGCTGGAAACGGCGTTGGGCAGAACTTGAGCGACGGTCATGGACCACCACGTTGCATACAACTGGAACCGGCGCGAAGAATGCTGGCAGTTTGGACGGATTGGGACCAGGGATGGAACAATTGGTTGGTGTTGGATCTCCACAACTTCCGAGGGCGAATGGGACGGGTTTGAGGCGAACCACGGCAAGAGGGCCAGGTCAACGCCAGGAACGACAGAGTAGCGGACTAGAACGTGGGCAGTGCATGGTCTCTGCATGGGCACTTGAATGCTGAATGACTTTTTCCCAGTCCTTTCTTCCTTTCTCCCTTTTCTCCCTGGTTCGTCAGCCCATAGGTTGCCTCGACGAGAGGGATAGCTTGACGGCATTGTACGTCACAAAGATCAAAGGGGGTCCCCTGGGAGGCTTATCCTGCCGGTGTACTATGGATAGAGCAGGAAATTAGTAGATTTCAGGTGTTCCGTCCGTCGCCTTTGTCCTCATAGCCTCTACCAAACTCGCATAACAGAAGACGCTACGGGGAAATGCCAAGGCTCGGGGGCCTTGCCAAGCACCGATATCCGATCCCCGCTAGTGTCGGTCTTTCGCTTCCCCCTGCGCTTGACTGCAAACTTGACTGGTGACTAGGTACTCGGTGCTCGTACTTCTACCACTACCACGACCACTACTGAATAGGTACTCGGTCCTATCAAAGCATCTTCTCAAATTGCATCTTGACCTTCCGGACCTAACTTCCCCTTGCTGGGGTTCCCGGACAAAATCCTTCGAACCAGTCCCCCAACCTCCCGCCCTACTAGTCAGTACGCCGGCCCATGCGAGCCTGAGACTTTCCAGGATTGAGCAACTGGGCTCGAGCCCTTCCACTGCCTTTCCGTCAGGCTCCACATGAAGCGAAAGTCTCTTACCGTCGCGCCCATGTCAAGATCGCATCTTATATTAGACTATGCCAGGTCCTTAGAGAAGAGGGGGAAAGCTTGATTCAATGTCGAGGAACTCACGATCAGAGACTGACTTATAGCACACGAGGACGATGTCTCGTTACGTACTTCTGTGAATCCACTGGCAATGTGGCAGAGTATCAGCCTCCGCCTCTCGATCGGGACGCCATGCCGAGCAGTCCCTGGACCAGATGAACCTGGTATCCCTTGAATGAGTGGTCCCGTCAAAATCTGTCAAATGTTTCAGCCTCACATGCATCTCTCTTCTGTTGGATATTGCCAGCATATTTGCCCCAGTTTGCCATGCCCGAAAGGGTGAGGATATGCCGTTCCACGAAGGTCTCCAGAGCGCCCACCACCGGTCGCTCAAAAGAGTGACCGCCATTTCCGTACCAGTCAATCCATACCATGTGTTGGTGGTGAGCTGAAAATGTTTGCTATGTCAATCACATTGTTCTTATATCCGCAAGACCATGGGGATACGGTTGGCCTCTAGCTTCAAACGGCGAGATGGCCAAATGTTCAATCTCGCTTGAATACTGCAGATTCGAACGGGGAACGAATTGGTCTCCCACAATTATTGAGTTTAGAGCAACACCGACTGCCGCTGCCGCTGCCGCTGCATGTCACGGTGGACAGCAGCCTCGTGGCAGCAGGTATGAGGTCGAAAGGTTCTCTGCCGATCCCCAGTAGGTCCACTGCCCTGTTTCTATCCGCATACTCGTCCACCAACGACTAAACGCCTTATGGATACGGGGCACTAAACACTGGCTGGACCCCAACGGGTGTCGGACTCTATTGAGCACACTTAACGGTGGCGTCCAGGAGGGCAAAAGAGCCAGCATCAGGCAGCCTTTCGTCTGTCTTACATCACTCGATCTCCCTTCTCCTTGTTGAGAGGGGGGCTTGCAAAGGCTCTGGCCAGTGGAGAGTAGGTCCGTCGTCGCTCATCTGTGCCCTGATACTTGTGGTAGTGGCGCTGCAAGGGGACCAAAGGGAGAAATGAGCGGTCTCAAACCCTTCATTCCATGACGCTGAATGGAAGGTGAGTTGGATTTCCGCGTGGTTGATATAAATATCGCGTCCTCCCAGCCGTCTCAGTTCTTTCTTCAGGCATTTTAGGTTGCTCAAGAGCTGTACAGCAGAAGCGGAAACTTCACCCCATCGTCGTCTCGTTTTCACCGATATCATTTCGTCCTACTCTCCACCTACATCGAGGCAGCTTCACCACGAGGCTCAGGCACCATGGCTTCCCCTCCAGTACCCAAACCCCAGATCCCTACTACCTTCAACGGACCCATGCAGGTCATCGGTGCCGGCCTTCCTCGTTGTGCAACAACCACTCTCAAGGAAATGCTCGAGAACAAATCGCTCCTCAACGTAGGACCAACAATGCACATGAATCGCTGCCTCTCCTCTCCCATGAACATGCGCCTCCTCTACGACGCCCTTCGCGAAAAGGACACGCAAAGACGTCGGGCCATCCTGTACAAGCTCTTCGCTGGCTGCGCGGCAACAGCAGACTTCCCTGGCCATCTGTTCGTCGAAGACCTGATCGAGATGTACCCCGAGGCCAAAGTGGTACTGAACATCCGCAAGGGCGGTGCTGCCGATTGGGAGTCCAGCATGAAATCGACCATCGCCCCGTTCATGAGCTGGCAATACCGAGTGGCTTGCTTCTGGAGCATCCCGGATTACTGGCACTATCAATGCGAGATCGAATGGCAACGATTCTGTAGGGAGAAGTTTGGCGCAGACAATTTCTGGAGTCAGGAGGTGTACGACAAACACAATGCCTGGGTGGTGAAGCTGTGCCAGGAAAGAGGCAGGGAAGTCCTTCTTTGGGAACCCGCCATGGGCTGGGCGCCGCTGTGTGAGTACTTGGGCAAGAAGGAACCCGAAATCGACGTCCCGAGGACCAATGATCGGGGAAAGATGGAGAAGGTGGTCAGTTGGAGGATCAGTCTAGGGTTGAAGCTCTGGATGAGCAAGATTTGTGTGCCAGTTGCCGTTTCTGTCCTGGGCGGGTATGGGGTGGTGAAGGCGATGCAATTGTGAGGGAGTCTGGTGTGGTAGATGGAATGCAAGGGTAAGAGACTGGCTTCTGTGTTGGTTTTCAATATGTATTTGCCGTTGGTATAAAGGCAGGGTGGGTAATGCTTGGGTCCTGTGGCGTCTGAGGAGCTGTCTCGATACTTTGGCCGTTTCTGGGTTGATAATAATTGACTCCTTGGTTTGATTATAGTCGGTAGTCGGGATATGTGAAACAAAGAACTGTACTCGGTAGTCAGTGGTGAGAATGTATTACTATTAAGGGCTTTCCCTCCAACCAAGATATCCAATCTTCTCCCAACTCCCTCCAAAGGCCCCAATCACTGTTCACGACTGTTTACACATCAGCCCCGGAATCAGCGCAGTCGCGTACATGACCGCGGTGATGGGCATCAGCTCGGCCATGCGGCCTTGCAACTTCTTTGTCGGCACGGGGACCAGGCCCGTGTCTTCCCAGGTTCTGCAGATCAAGTCGGGAAGTTCGCGAATGTCGGCGTCGACCAGTTCGTCTTCGCGGCACAGACCGTCCTCATCGGTCGCGCTGGAGAGGGCGGCCTTGAGCCCGAGCGCGGTCCCGAACTCGCGGAACGCGAGGCGTCGATCCACCGGCTGGTCAAAGTAGTCGTTCTCCAGCAGCTGCTTGACGCAGCCGATGGCGCGAGAGGTCAGATGGGTGGCCCACTCCTCCTCGGGCGTGCACCAGTGCGCGGTCCACAGCGTCATGCCCAGGTCCAGAGTGTCCGCCGAGGTGTAGTCGCGGAGTTTCTTGTCTACGATCCTCTTGAACAGGGAGACCTCGTCGCTCAGGATCTCCGGGTCGTCAGGGTTCGTGGACTGGAGGAGCTGGTACGTGACGTAGCCGTCGAGCGGGTCGAGGTTGCCCTCGGACAGGACGAGGGGCTGCGAGAGATCCGTGCTGAGTTTCCAGAACATGCGCGGCCGGTGCGACTCGGTGTTGGACATGAAGTGTGGGAGGATGGCCTGTGCCATGATGATGGCTTGGTCGTTGTACCACCTGTCTCCGCTGACCACGCTCGTGCGGTTGAGGGCGAACATCCACACGGTGAGATAGTGGAAGTATTGGCCATCGCCGTCCTCGCCGGACTCGTCGTGTTTGCCGATCCGGAGCCCTCCTTTGAGGGGATACTCGTCCGTGGCGCCGGGCAGACGTGATTTGCCGTTGCGTGTGTAACCCAAGATGTTATGGACGGTGGTGATGAGGTTCTTCGCAAAGGTGAGGTAGCGCTCCTCGTTGGTGAGCTGATGCAGGGTCAGGAAGTTGACGACGGCGAACCCGTCGGTCCAGAGATAGCGGCCTCGATGGCCCTCGGCCGCCGGCGGAGGTGTCCATTTGGAGAGATTCTGGTCTGTTGCTTCCGGTAATGGCCCATAGATGGACTCCATGGCCTGGAGGAATTTCGGGAGGTTTTCCCTGTCGTCGGATGCCATGGCGGGATAATTTGTCGCGGTTAGGTAAGCAAGGCCGAGATAAAACTCAAGAATATGAGATCGTCTTTCGGGGTGCGTGAGAGATGATAAGCTATTGTGAGCATTGATGCACGGTCGAAGAAGGATGGATCAGCATCAAACAAGCCCAGCTGATGAAGGGCATCCGACTCGCAGACAGGTAATTGAGCGTGAGGAGCTTGGAGTCAGTGATGCAAGATGACCTTCAGTTATTAACGGGATAGGCCCTCTGCGATAAAGGGAGAATACAACTAGGTAGACAGGCTTCTGTCGTGGTTTTTGTTGGATGATATGAGCGACAATGATGTATTAATGTCGATGGATCGACAAATTATCATGCCACACACATCTTGGGTGTGTGCCACATGTCACAAGATTTGGAAGCCATGCAATCGCCCATACCAAGTCCCAGTGATCCCAGTGGTGCCAGGCTGTCCAAGTACGTGCCAGTATACTTGTATATGGGTGGAGCCTGAGATTTCCTCGGAACTCGCATGTGATTAGTTGATGGTTCCGGAACCGGCA